TCAAGCTCGAACATGCGGTAAATGTTATATGTTATGTTCAGATCATAGTCTAAAGGAACCAGTGCTCTTAGAAACACCCAGGGGTATTGTGTTGGGTGGCTCTGTGAGCCTGTGTGTCTGCTTGTCAAAGTGACACATACGGCTCATGCGCAAGGACAATAACCAGGGCTTCAAGCTGGAACATGGGGTAAAGTAAATGTGACCATGTCTTGTCCTGTGTAAATGTATGCTGGACCCCATTGAAAAGCAGCTTCTACTAGCTGAACGGGCTACCCAACTATTTTATGATGAAATAAGATTAGAAAATAAATAAACAAGAACACGTATGCCTCATGCACAAGGACAACAACCAGGTCTTCAAGCTCGAACATGCGGTATATGCTTCATGTTTTGTTCATAGTCTTAAGGGATCTGGCGGTCTAAGGGGACAGAGGTATTGTTTTGTACGGGACCGTCAGTGGGATTGTATTTGTTCTGTATCAAGTTAACATGACGTCATGTATCAAATTATACTCAGTATTGTCTACACTGTATATTAAAATCAGTATATTAAAGTGACAAAGTACACAAGGAATGCCAGTTCCTGGACAATTTGACCACTTTTTCGTGATCCCTTAGAAAACTTAGATAATGACCATACATAGTGACCTGTCCACATAGGCCAGATTTCATTGGTCTTCTACATGAGTGGTCTTCTTGGGAAGTTTTGACTGTACAATATTCTGTATCTGTATAGCTGGTATAACCGCCCTTCGGCATAACACACCAGCGTCGCAGGCATGCGGCGTGACAATGCCCCTACTGTACTTGGTGACAGTGAGTTCCACTCTGCGATAGTTCTAGGAAAGAATGAATTCTTGAACACTTCAATCCTTGGTTGATAACTCTGGTACTTGAAGGCGTGACTATTTCTTGTTCTCTTCTGGGCTGGTATTAGGTACTTAGTAGTTGGGACATCCACCGAGTGTAATTGTTTTGTCCTGTATTTGTTCCAGAGCCTCCCAGACGGCCAGACATCATCATGGGAGACGGCGTTCAAGGAGGAGAACAAGGCGAAGAACAGATACGGCAACATCGTTCCATGTGAGTTAACAAACCAATACTGTACAACGTTAGTAGGCATCCTTCCATCTCGAAAGATGATGGTAGCACTCTAGGTCTGGTGTTGTGGCCGTGAGCAGCGTTTAGTGTGGCTTATCAGCCCTATCTTCGCATGGCAGTCCCGACTACAGTTGGGACACAGGAAAGATGAGCTATTTACAACATACACTCTGTATATATCCATGAATAATTACATTGGGTTGGTTGAGAGACATCAGAAAGCGTGGCCTTGCCAGTGTTAACCCACTGGACAGGGCTGCCTGGAGGTGCAGTGTGAAGACCAGTACTACTAGCCGACTGCTGCCGACCCCTGTGGCAGGGACAACAGCAGCAGTATAATCAAATCCTGGATAGTGAGTGTGAGTGGTGAATGATCGAATAGCAAAATTCTTTCTTTCACAACAAGAGCCAAAGTTTTGATGACCATCTGCCATCTTCATCAGGGCAATTATGACTGGTTCACTTTGCACTGAGGCTAGGTGTTTCTGGTTTGCTAACATATAGCACTGTAGAGCATACAATTTCATATTTTAGTGTTAAATGATAGAGCTGAAACTTGCACTTTCAGATGACTCCAGTCGGGTTGTCCTGGAGCCCACACTGGATGACCCCAGCTCCGACTACATCAATGCCACCTATTGTGATGTAAGTCTTTAGTTAATGAAACCTTAGTAAGCCTAGGCTCTCTAATGGCTTGACGTGGTACTGCTGTGAAACTTTCGGTTCTGATATTTCGTGATTTGGACATGCTAGGGTCACCAATTTTGGACTGTAGATAGCTCTTGTGCTTGGAAAGAATTGGCATAAATTTGGACTCCATAGCAGGCTGTTAATGCTGCAAAGAGCTTTGTGAAAAATAAAATGAGTTAAATGTGACTCACTGTTTTTCAGGGTTACAGGGAGAAGCGGGCATACATCGCAACACAGGGTAAGGATAAACTGTCTTTTGGTGCAGTCACATTCGTCATAGATCATAAGATTTCTATAGCTTGAAATTTCCAGCAGACTGGGACAAAATCATTCACTTGTGGGTAAGGAAAAGTCACAGGATAGTATGGGTACTGGTGTAATACCTGAATCATACAAATAAGGTGTGTGAACAGGAAGGTCACAAAAATGCCAAACAAATCCCAGAAGTCTGAAATCTCTGATTTCTTCTTTTCCTTTTGAGAATGGGACTTTTTGTAATGGGACTGTGGAAGGCCTAACATAAATGGTACAAGGCTTTGTACGAAACTGATTTACCAAGTTGAAGGTTTCTAGATAGTAAACTGTGAGGAGTGAATATGATTTGAAATTCTTGTTTGCGCTTTAGGTCCGAAGACCAAGACCGTGCCCGACCTGTGGCGCATGGCTTGGCAGGAGCGCAGTGCCAGCATCGTCATGCTCACCAACCTGGTCAAAACGCTTCATGGTTTAATCATGGTTTCTTTGTCCTAAAGGTTGTTTGTTTATTTGTTTGTTTGTTTGCACTCCAGGTCCGAAGACCAAGACCGTGCCCGACCTGTGGCGCATGGCTTGGCAGGAGCGCAGTGCCAGTATCGTCATGCTCACCAACCTGGTGGAGATGGCAAAGGTCCAGTTCTACTCAGACCTGGAGCAGTCCGCAAGCATTCCAAAGGTAGGGACAGAATTATGTTAAAGGTCAATGACCTGGACTAGATGGCAGACACCCCATTCCAAAGGTAGGGACAAAATTATGTTTGCCTTCACAGTAAGAAGACAAAATTTGCTCTGCTACTTCTTCTTCTCCAAAAAAGGTCAATGACCAAGACCAGATGTCTGCCACCATGATAGCTGGTGCTGTAGCAGACACCCTGTGGTGTTAGGTAACATTATGTAGCAAGCTGCAAGACAGAGCTCAAGGAGCTAGTCACCACCATATACTAGTTTATGAAATATGTATTTGAGAAAGAATGAACAGAGCACTAGTTTGTTAGGCTAGGCCATGTGAAGGTGGACGTTCATGT